AGGGAGGGGACCTAGTGCTGGCCTATGTCAAGCATACTGAGGTGCCTACACCTCCAACCGCTCAATCAGACAATCTGGAAAGAAACTGACAGCATGAACGCCACTGACATCGATTTGACGCCATTTCTTGCAACGTCTTCAGCCAAGCAACTCCCTTACTTCAACTTGCATGTGGCATCTAGCTTCAGGGTCAAATCCAGTTTGCTTCTACTTGTAACTAAACCCGCAAATATATAGTTTCCCGAAAATCGACACACCCCTAACTTCCTGCCGACTTCTTAAATGCCCTTCTAATGAATGAAAATAATCTCTAGCTCAGATAGGTTGAAAGAGGAGGAAAAGTTTCTGGAGAAGGTTCAACTGATAGGCATTCAAGACCTATCAAAATACACGAGACCTCAGTTGCCGATGGTCCATACGGCTGAACACAAACTAATCTGCTTATCTTTATTGTTCAGAAGTGATTGTTTAATCAGTAGTGTAAGGTAGAAACTAAGTTAAGCTTTCAAAAGGGTCTACAGAGCCGCAAAACTGCGTCTAGTTCAAATCAGCAAGGGTATTCTGCAGCGCCCTGGGTGTAGTTCGTCAGACTTATCTGCAGCCCGTGTAATTCACCAATCATCTTGCAGTTGACAGAAAAACCCGAGAATTCAGATGGCGTGAACCTACTGACCGTGAAGGTCCGTGGTTCGAAGCAACTCCGAAGTCTTAACTGCTCCTGTCTAGGCTTGGAAGTAACTCAGCCCCCATTGTTTTCAAGGGTAGCATGTCAACTAGGCACCGAAAGGGTATTACAGCTGAACGGTGATTGATAATGCAGCTGACGATTTGCCTTCAGAAGGGCCTTCAGTGGCCGAGTATCTTCTGCAAGCGAGTCACCAAACAAATTTGAAAAACTCGTTTTTTGTGATGTAGTTTGACAGAAGCCCTAAACTGCTGTCAGTCTGCTAGACAATCGCCGTACTGCATGCAGCCTTGAAGTGAAGCGGTTTTCTTAACGTGACTTCATTCTCATTTGTTGCATATGACCTGCATATTTTACGTGCCACAATATATACCTTCTAACCGTGTTGAGTTAATAAAAAGGGACACAAGATTCTTGACAACCTGAAGAGTACCAACATGACAAACGGAATTTGTTGGATAACGTTTAGAAGACGCAAAAAATACCAGAGGACTACAAAATAGAAACAACAAAACTGCAGGGCCTTCAAAGTGTTGTCGCATCTTAGTGAATTTAGATTGTTTCCCAAGAATTATCAATTGGGTGGAGTCTAGGAACGAGAATGACCTACCCATTACCTACGAGCGATGAAGCAGAACCTCTACATTCGTGAGTCGTACCGTCTTGTTTAGACGTTCCCTTCTCTATGTTCACGCCAATGCCTGGATATACACAGATCCTAGACGGGAAACAATATTATCAACTGATAAGGGGAAAGAGCAGAGCGCATTCCAGACCAATATTGTCTGACATTGATAACTTCTGTGTTAACATCACGCCTCTTGTTCACTGGTTAGTAGCCTCTCCTTATCAACAACGATATTTTAGCTCCGTCACCAGTTAATTGTGGCCAGCATGCAGGCGAGATAAGCGACACTGGACGTTATGTTGTCTGAGCCCAACACATCTCATTTCCTCGTATTCTAGAATGGTTGTGATATTTCGTATTCTTTAGGAGCCTCTGAGAGCTGTTTTGTTCGCTCCCATGAACTCTCATCTGACCTTGAAACCTCGATCGTGATTTGAAACCGTAAGAGAGGTCAATCCGTACCACACAGCCGAAGAGCACGAATACCCAGAAGTTCGATGCGCAGAGTTGACAATTCCCAGTGAGAATGAAACAACTATACTATGGTTTCTCGTGTTTCATCATATACGTAACCATGGTTTACACTTGAAAATCTCACGTCCTACAAATTGTAAGGTATCTGACCAGGAGAAAAGAATTCCACAAATAGCACGAGTCTTCGTCCGCAATATCGTTCCTCACGTTGACCAGTAGACGACGAGGAACGTGACAGAATAGCGATACCATACTGTCTAGATATGAGTTAGCCACGCTACCGATCAGCCACCAGTGGCCGGACGGATAGATACCAGCTCATGGATACGAATCCTCTTGAGATTGGCGGGATGCGATCCGGTACGTGAACCGTCCGAGCTATACCAACTAGCGGTTTCTTGGCATGGGAAGCCTCATTGTCAGCACAAAATTCTATTCAAAACGCAAAAATATTCTCATCACCAAACAAATTACAGCTTTTCACGCTCGCGACATAGTCAGTCGGGCGGAACCCAACCTATGAGGCGACAGGAGAGTGGAAAGACGTGCGGTGGTTTACACTCCGAACTTCATCAATAGCTACCTGAGGGTGATGAGCTGACGGATTTACTAACAACTTAAGTGCACATAACGGCACACGTGACTTCAAAGCGTTGAATGTTTCGTGACGGGACTGGATAAGCACGCCAGAAGGGTAGCAAAGCAATATTTGAAACCTTGATATGTGATAGTCGGTCCTGGTTTTATCGTTCCCACATTCTTCATCTCGTGTTTCACTTTGGTGTTGCCTCGTTCAGAGTGTATTTGTGTAGAATTCAGGCTGATCTGATGGTATCAGTTACCTCCTGAACAAATAAATATCAGTTTGAGGTGAGATATCATTGATAACGTATGGATGCGAGTTTTCAGACAAGTAAACTGTCCCGGAGAGATGCATTGCGCGCATAAATCCAGCAGTTGGCTCACAAACAATTGTTTTGACCGGTTGCAGACAGCACTGACATCTTGGTGGCACAATCGTAAGCGGGACTGCAGCATACACAATAATCGGTTAACCCACCCTATTGGTTCCTTAGAGAAAGTGGTGGTCGTTTATAATGGCTGGAGATTTTTAAAAAGTAAATACACGGATAGATACTAAAACACTGACTCGAAAGTGTCGACAGGACTAGTGCGCGTGCTAGTCCAGATGTGAGCAGGTCACCTGTGCCCAGGGTGAAGGCAGTTAGCCTACTTTTACGGACCGTAGGACTCGTCTACTTACCATGCTGTCGCGTAAGTTTGTGAATCCACCCAGGCGCAAGTAGATGGATTAATCTAGCTAGTATGCATCAAAAACTTATCACTATGTATGGGTAGTTCATGGAATCAGTACAACGGTCCTTGTCCAGGATATGGTTGTTCTAAACTATTGGGCGGCAAAAAACGAAGCATGGAGGGCTTACCGGACAGGTGTGGCTCTTGCTTCAAGCAGCTGTTACCATGGAATGATCTGATTCGACCGAGAATCACAACTAATCCAGATAAACTATCTGTCCAAGATTGGTCGACGACGACAAACGCCCTGAAACTGCTACCGGATTGTGTACAATAATAACGAAAGGCTGGATCTGTTAAAATCCGACCAAATTAGCCCTAACAGATAATGCACTATCATAATCACAGCCACATAAAAGCAAAAACGAACCACCCATTATATTGAGCACGACAACGACTATCTAGGGATGTCGAGTGGACAGATGTCAAAGAAAATATATAAAGCAGCGGCAGATGCAGCCGTAAATATCTAAAATCAATCGGTTAAATGGTGGTCTAGTCATACTTCGCATCATTTGTACAAGCAAACAAAAGTAACTCAAAAAATGAAACGTCCACCCATATTAAAGACGATGGTAGTGTGTGGTAATACCGAGCCACAGGGACAGCTTTGTAAGACTTTGTAATATTCGTTAGTCGGAGGGCAGACATACTATCTCATCTGAAATCGATCACATTGAAGAGTAAACTGGAATCGTACACGACGTGTTTGCTGTCTTCGAATAAGGGTGAGGTTTGGGGATGTGGATGAAAGCCTATTTGCTTACATTGGCGCACAAACGGAATTCCATGATCAGGCGTAAGGGAGAACGTTTTGATCTCATCAAACTTGGGCGAGCAAACGATTGCTATGGCCTCCGGAAGCATGATTTGATAGGACAATTGTGTATGCTGATCAACAGAAGACAGGAATGCTGTCTGACTCGGATGAGTGTGTATCCAACCCAGCACCAACAGGTTGCGTCTTTCGGTGTATTCGAAAAGCTCCTCTTCTTTGTACGTTGTGCAGGAATCAGGTGTACCGCTTTGCTTTGGCAAAACCAAGTCAGTTATATGAAACTCGCCACTAACTACACGACCACACAAACTTCCACAAGTCTCCATATTGTTCTTGGAATTGAGCTCGGCAAGCTGAAGAAACCTCTGGGCCAGGTTGGGTGAGATACGAACGGTTGCCCAGCCATGTTCATTAGTTTTTACGGAAGCTGGTTTTGAACTTCGATCTACGGTTGGCGGAAGTAAAGTGGACAGGTTAACAGGAAGTGATCCATGTATCGCCAGACCTCCCTCTGTAGGATATGATGGCAAGACACGTGAAGGACGATCGTTGTTCATCCCATCAAATAACATATTTGAAGGTGGCGCCTTGGGGACAAGTGTTCCAAGAACGCTGGCGCGTTTCTCCTGCTCTAACCGTGCCTTTTCTGCCAATCTACATCGTTCCGCCTCTTCCTCTGCTCGCCTGGCTTCTTCTTCGGCCTGACGAGCTTTCTCCTCCTCAAGATATTCCTGATACTCTGATTCGTAACGTTCACGCAATTCAACTTTTAAAGCTTCTGCTCGGTTTAGCAACTTGCGACATCGTGCGTTCCACTCGCTTTTTTCGGTGCCAGTTAATGAGTTATATTCACGATGTTTCGGCAAATGCTGCAAGTACAATATGACAAATTTCGAAGCCAGAACGTAAGCAGACTCCTTTTGATTAGTTTGTATATACATTTCAACCGTACTGATCATCGCACGCATTACTCTGAAGTATTGTTGAATATCTAATCCGTGAAAAAAGTCAATTCTGCTAGCAACGTCCATAAGAGACGCGAGCCGCGCTTCTGGAGTTCGACACGCTTTAGGCGCATGTTGAGTAGAAGTCATAACGAAACGAATGGAACCACAAAATACAAGGTGGCGTATTGAAGTGATGCCAGTTAGGAACCTGGAGACGAGTACATAGATGCGACCTCCCTGTAGACGTTCTGAAAAAGGGAAAACAGAATATAGTAACTTTCAACAAAGACTAATTAGGAATCTCCATGAGTAATATGTTGGAAACAGTAACTGTTTGAGCAATTCTGTGGTTTTCAAAACCGTAAGTAAAAAATTCTCCTCCTCCTTCCGCACTAGCAACACACATAGAGCACAACAACCGAGTGTCACACGGTTGTGTAACCCCACCGCATCTATAAAATGTATACTCTTCAATGGACTTCAGATCAGCAAAGGATAAAGCACACACGACGTGGGTTGGAATGAAAGTATGGGTCACAGGGAGACGTCTACAACACTTTATTACCAGTGGGCGCTTGCGATCCAACTACCAAGCTCAGCGATCACACAAACAACCGGGCAATCAGGCTACCACACACTCAATAAAATCGTTCCGCTGTAGCATCCTTTCGGTGCCTAGCTGGCAAACAAAGGAAGGAGGCACGAGGGCTGGAATACTACCAGGTTGCCCAAGCATAGACAGGAGCAATGGAGACGCAAATGATGGGTTCAAATTACCAGCCTTCAGAAAGTTTGCGCCTTAACTAGTGACCTACTTCGAGCCAAAACTGATTAACTGATTATTAAGGGAGGAGAGTCTGCCAAGTATAACTCTCTTCAGGAGTTTGGGAACGACGGGTCTATGGTGTAAAGGGTCTTTCATAAATCTACCCTTATAAAAAGATTTAAACTTAGCTGTCTGCCATTATCATCATCGTCGGTAACACAATATCAGTGTTCAACACTAATGCTTCACTGTTATACAACCACAGTTTATGTGAAAGCCTTATTTAGAAGAAAAGGATATAGTACTAGTCTACCACAATCCAAGGTGCCTACACTTGCAGACACTCATTCAGGTAACCTAGATAGAAATTGACAACAGGACCCCACCGAAATAGAATAGCAGTCATATCTTGCAGCGTCTCCAAGCGCGCACAGTGGAGACAACTCCGTCCCCATCGTGGAAAACGAGCCGCCCCCAAAGCACCCAGACTTTTCACAATTTCTTCTATAGAAGGTTGAACATCCCTCTGTTTCCACCAATTTAAACTGGGAACGGAAAACAGTATTGTCCTTGACAAATGATTGTTCGGTGTGTACAATACATGGTCTAACCACCACAGCCTTCGGTGCTGAAGGCGTTCTCCGATTGAAGTCTCCTTGAACGAATATTCGTTTTCTAATTGCCTCGTTTCGGATTCAGCGACACCAGCCTTCACCAGCTATTGTTCTGAGACAACGGTAGTCGAACCCTTGACGTTTCAGTTCCGCTGATCGAACAGACCAAATCTCACAGCCATCCTACAAATCGGCTCACAAAGTAGCCTTGTAGAGACGTACCTTAAGGATCAGAAATATGCAACTCTGCCGTCAGTGCTGTCTAAAATCAGCAAACGCAACCAACTCGTACCATCAGTCCATCCGCTGCACTACCATAAGATTTAATAGGATTTCCGAGATAGGTAAAACGCTCCACAACTTCGAGTGCCTGTCTCTGGATCGTAAGCAGGGCATTCAGTGACTGCACGTCTAGGAGCATGACGTTACACTTTGTGGGTGCAAAGTGCATACACTAATGCTTGTTATACAACCACAGTTTATGTGAAAGCCTTATTTAGAAGAAAAGGATATAGTACTAGTCTACCACAATCCAAGGTGCCTACACTTGCAGACACTCATTCAGGTAACCTAGATAGAAATTGACAACAGGACCCCACCGAAATAGAATAGCAGTCATATCTTGCAGCGTCTCCAAGCGCGCACAGTGGAGACAACTCCGTCCCCATCGTGGAAAACGAGCCGCCCCCAAAGCACCCAGACTTTTCACAATTTCTTCTATAGAAGGTTGAACATCCCTCTGTTTCCACCAATTTAAACTGGGAACGGAAAACAGTATTGTCCTTGACAAATGATTGTTCGGTGTGTACAATACATGGTCTAACCACCACAGCCTTCGGTGCTGAAGGCGTTCTCCGATTGAAGTCTCCTTGAACGAATATTCGTTTTCTAATTGCCTCGTTTCGGATTCAGCGACACCAGCCTTCACCAGCTATTGTTCTGAGACAACGGTAGTCGAACCCTTGACGTTTCAGTTCCGCTGATCGAACAGACCAAATCTCACAGCCATCCTACAAATCGGCTCACAACGTAGCCTTGTAGAGACGTACCTTAAGGATCAGAAATATGCAACTCTGCCGTCAGTGCTGTCTAAAATCAGCAAACGCAACCAACTCGTACCATCAGTCCATCCGCTGCACTACCATAAGATTTAATAGGATTTCCGAGATAGGTAAAACGCTCCACAACTTCGAGTGCCTGTCTCTGGATCGTAAGCAGGGCATTCAGTGACTGCACGTCTAGGAGCATGACGTTACACTTTGTGGGTGCAAAGTGCATACCGATGGATGGGATGACTTTGGTTCTTTCATCCAAAAACATCTGCGCCTTCCCCTCCTCTTCGAAGACGAGAACGATGTCATCTACATATTCCAGATCCACAAGGTTTTCGTCAGAGTCTGTTTAAACACCAGGGTTTTGAAGATCTTCCAGCGTTCGTCTCATGGTCTCATCGATCAAAAAACTAAACGGGAATGAATAGAGTTGGCACCACTGACTGACACTGCTTTGTGTACAGAAGCTATTGGAGGTCTCTTCGTATTACCTCACATGCCCGAAAGTCTGGGAATACAAAAAACTTATTAAGTTCACAGTTTTCTGCAGCATTCCTCGAAGGGCAAGCGTATCAAGAAGAACAGACTGGTCAACCAAGTCGAATGCACCTTGGACGTTCAGGAATACTAAAATTGTGGGTCAGTTGTGGCTATGCCGTTGTCGTAGCACTAGACGGGGTGTGAAGATTTAGTCAACGCAACCCCTACCAGGTCGGAATCCCGGTTGCTGCTCTCACATCAGTGTTTCACGAGCCACCATAAGGCAGCGAAGCACAATTGACGCCAACGGTCTCGTTACGACCGAAGTCAAGCTGATCTCCCTGTAGTCACTGCACTCACTACGCGCCCCTTTCTTGAAAAGGGACACTATTACCGACTCGCGCCAGTGGTCTGAAACAGTTTCGTTTTCCTTAATGCAGGTAAACGAATCTAACAAATGCTTACTGAGGACTTCACCTCAATTTTTGAACCATCCGGGTGGGAGGCTATCCAAATTACGAGCCCAGTGGCATTTAAGATAAAATGTGCAGTCATAGAGATTCGAAGCCCATTGGGGGTCACATGTTCATTGGCAGGGTTCTACGTCAGCTGTAGGCATCAGATGAGTGGCAGCTAGTAGGCATGCGAATTGTTGTGTGTGTGGGCCCATCGGTCGCTGCTTCGCCCGAAGAAGGACGGATTAGAGAAGGTCAGCCCTAAAAATCGCACACTCCGATCGCCCAACGGTTGACTGTGACCGCCGGCGCATCATCCAATACGGTCGAAATAAGTTTTAAAACCAAGCAATTCGGTGCTGCTCAAAAGGCATCTGCTATGCTTAGTTGCATCAAGAATGAGAGGATAATGCCTATTCCCTGCGCCCCTGGGTTAGGCGATCCCCCCTGAAGCCGAGTAGGTTAGACCATTAAGTCACAAGTTCCGGGCAGGGTCTCCAAAGAAAACCCTACTGTCCGCTGCCTCGTGGGTCAGACTTTTGAGTCAGAGGCTAGGGACAGGGTCCACAAACAAAACCCTATATCTTCCCACTGCCTTGTTGGTCAGACTTTTGAATCAAAGGTTCAAGGTGGGGTACCTAAAAACTAAAACCTCTTGCTCGGCCTGGGCAACCGAGGAAGTATCATTTACCCCGCAGCCCTGTGTCCACCGATGTCTCTCCCCAACCCCCTCCCACCACACAAGCAAACGTCACTGGGTCACTCGACAGTCAGTTATGTGACCAAAAGGTCTTATGCTCCTCGTTGCCTAATAACAATGAACAAAATGACACCCTTCCAAATTCACGAGATCCTTTCTATCTAGGAGCTTTTAACGTCCGTACTCTATGTCAAATTGGAAAACAAGCAATGTTTGCTGAATCCTCATACTCTCTTGAAATTGATGTATGCTGTGCCTCCGAAGCACGCATATAAGACCCAAGCGTGGTTATGCATCTCGGAACACCAAGGAAAAGCTCAGCTCATTCACAATTCTCCCTCCATGTGTGCGGTGACCCAGAAGCGATGGCTCGTGGAATATATGGTGTGGGAGTTGTCCTTAGCCCCAGAGTCTAATGCGCTTTCCTGGGTTGGATCCCAGTGAACAGTCGCCTTTGGGCCTTCCAGTTATCCAACTCGGTGCCTCTCGGCATAAAAAGCAATGTCTTTTTGCAGTGTCGGCTTATGCCCCAACGGACTGCAGTTCTGATGCTGAGAAGGATAGTTTCTATGGAGAGCTATCCGGGCTCATTCGTCAAGCAGAAAGCTTTGACATTGTGATCCTTGCAAGCGATTTTAATGCTCAAATGGGCCATCTCAGCTCCTTGGAATCACATTTAGGCGGTCTGTTCGGGGTCGATGTGTAAACCGGCAGCCACCAACTGCAAATCAACTCTGGACCCAGCCGGACCACGTGGCCATCAGCCACCGGTAGAGAGTCACAACTCAAGACTGCCGTTCCTTCTCTGGCACACCATTTGATTCCAAACACGACATGGTGCGTGCACGCCAGACAGTTCGCTTCCCTTCAGGCTTTGGTGGACATCGAAAGCTCAGGAGATGGAGAAGGCTTTTGCCACGGGAAACAGCCGTGCCCCATTTCAAATGATACGACAGACTGGATATAGGAAAGCAACGGTCAGCAAAACGATAAGTGAAAAAGATGGCTCATTAATTCACTCGCAAAAGGTCGACTGGAGAGATGGGCCGAACACTTCGAAGAGCAGTTCAGCTGGCCTCA